AAAGGCAAGGGACAAAATACAAAAAAAAAAAAAAAAAAGTAAAAAAGTAGAGGTACATAAAGTTCTACATAATTTAATGGCTTTTTAAACCATAATTTGGATTAAAGTCAAGTACTATAAAGTTTATCGTGGGTGGTGCTCATGTTTAAATTTTTCTTATCATTGGTTAAAATGATAAATTTGAATTCTAGTTTTCACTGATTAAGGAGAAGAAGGTAATTTAAAAATATTTCATAGAGATATTTGATTGAATATAAGTTTATATGCTTATTTTTATTAATTCATATTGTTGCTTTACCTAAGCTTGTTTAAAATATGAAAATTCACTTTTTAAAAGTTTGTTTCCTTTTAAATAGTAATCATAGGCTAATGCTTTTCAGTTTTTTTTACTGAGCTGATTTATCTTCTTTAGTGACAAAGGCACTCTGCTTTTCTTCGTTTTTAATAGAGGCCTCTGAAAAAATAGGTACTTAGTATCCCAATATTTCTGTCTTTGACTTGTTTTTTATGTTATAAATAAAGGCAAAATATACAATGCATAACTATGTAACTACATAGTGTGTATGTGTGTGTGTATGTGTGTGTGTATGTGTGTGTTTATATATATTATGTATACTATTATATAATACAATGTGGTGTTAGTTTTTTGTGACAGGTAACTGCTGGTTTTAAAAGGCTTTTGAAAAATACTTCCTATAGAACATGTTAGAATTTTTCTGGACTACCTCATTTAAGTGAAAAATCATGAAGTTTTAAGCTTTTGTTTATACTTTGAATAAAGGGCTTCATATGGAACTAAATTTCTTAATACGACATGTTATTTTTTAGTTCATTATGTTTTTCACATCAGCAAATCATATGCATCTTTGCATTTCCTCAAACCTACCAACACTCTTCCTCTACCTAGTAGCATAGCTTATTAGTAGCATAGCTTATTCTTTCCTGAGGACTTGAGAACTAACCAGGTAGATGTTAATCACACCTATTATTCTTACTATGCTTTATGTTTTTTGATGACAGTTTTTACTCTAGCATGTTATATAGTATGTTTATTGGTTTATTATGTGTTCCTTAGTAGACTACATAGAGTCTACTTTAACTTTTATTCTTAGCACCAGGAATAGCACATAACACACAGTATGCATTTAATAAATACTTTCTAATGTATAAATCATAGGCACTGCTTCTCTTTTTGAACTTGACTACCTATTAGAGTTTAACTTAAATTTTAATATTTGCTTTTAACTCTTTTTAATTTTTTTTTTTTTTTTTTTTTGTGCATGTGTGTGTCTGTGCGTGAAGAATTGAACCTAGGGTTTTACCACTGAACTACATCCACAGCCCTTTTTATTTTTATATCAAGTTGTGATCTTGCAAAGTATCTTAAGGCCTTGCTAAATTTCTGGGGTTGGCCTCAAACTTCTGATCCAGTTGCTGTGCATATAGGCATGTGCTACCACACCCAGCTGTTTGTTTTAAAATCAGATTTCCATTTAAGTTGCTCTCCCCACCTACCACATACAAACCATGATCTTCCAAAGCAGTGATTGCTTTTCCATATTTTATGGAATAGAGATTTTCCCTTCTTCCTGTTTTCTCCTCTGGGTTGGTTCCTGGGGAGGTGGGGGTCTTGTACTCTGGAGAGATCTGTCATTGGACATTCCTGTTTCTTCTAATATTCTTCCTCTCTTCCTCTGAGCAGTTCAACAGCTGCTTTTCTTTCTTTCTTTCTTTCTTTTTTTTTTTTTTTTGGTACTAGGGATTGAACCCAGTGGTGCTTAACTATTGAGCCATATTCCCAGACTGTTTTATTTTTAATTTGAGACAGGGCCTTGCTAAGTTTCTGAGGCTAGTCTTGAACTTGCAATCTTCCTGCCTCAGTTCTCCTGAGTCAGTCTTTGGGATTACAGGAGTGTTCCAATGCACCAGGCCAGGGCTGCTTTTCAGTGTAGCAGGATCTGGTAGCATGGATTTTCCCAGGAAATGGAATATTCAAATGGATGATGGATGGCACTGAGAGGAAGATTTGGTCCTAGATCAGGGGTCTTAATCCCCTTTCCATGGCAATTCCATATGGACTCAGTTGGATCAAAGGTCCTCCCCTCTCCATGGAGATCTCAACAAAGGACCACAACTACAATGCCCCAGCACATCTAACCTTTTGGCAATGACTGATGCCTGAGAAACTGTTCTCATCTCCAGTTCTATGATAGATCCCCTCATCTACCTCAATCTAAGGCTGGTCTAGTGATTCCTTTCAGGCCCCACACTCAACCATCTAAAGGCTGCTTTTGAAGTCCTTCCTCCCAGTGAGTCATGCCCACTTGTCCCTGGTTGTCCTCTGGTCCAGTGGGAAGGCAGACAGCTTTGTGACTTCACAAAAATCTATCTTGTGACAAGACTGATCCTGGTGAAACAGGAGGTGGGCAGAGGGAGCTCTCCCCAGGAACATCATGTAACTTTCCATAGAGACACCCCCACCTCTAAGGGAATGAAGAAGAGCTGCCCTGCGGTAAGTGTCCAGGTTACCCTCTATGACTAGAAATGCCTTTCCTTGATGACTTTGGCTTCCAGGCCTAGCTGGAAGTTCCAGGCTATGTTGCCAAATATATCTCAGAGGTCCAGGCCCATGGCAGCCAGGTTTCTGGAGGGGCAGAAATTATTCCAGGTGATGGTGGTGGTGTATGCCTGTCCTTCAAACTGAAGTTCAGACCAACTTCCTACCATTAGACAAAGTCATTCTTCTCTAGGTCCATTTGAATGAAGAGAACTGATAGAGTGGGGATTGAATCTTCATTAGGGTCAGCGCCAGCAGTTATTTCCCAAAGTACATTCAACCAGAGATCCCTGAATCCCATAGAAAGGTCTTGTAGCTATATATAAATATTGCCAAAAATCCAGGGGCTTGTGGGAACTTGATGGCCAGTATAGACTGCTCTCCACTGTTGTTTCCTCATGAATCTGAGGCAAAAAAGCTGGGGATGCTTGCTTCTAAACTTCCCTGCACCTAGTCCCCAAACTTTCAACTGTACCTGCAGTATGGTCTCTGGGAAGAGCAGGTCCCCAGGAGTTAGGAGGATAATTGCCTGCCTTATTAGGGGATTAGACAGGCCCAAGGAAAATCTGGAAGGCAGAATTTAACTCTCTTCAAGCCCGCTTTGTGCTGGGCTTGTGAGGGTGGTCCAGGGCACACCATCTCTGAAAATTTCCTTTGGCCTCTACTTTGATTATGACATCACTATTCTGCCAGAGAACCAAGAAAGTTAAGAGTTCTGTGCAAGGATTCCAAATGTGGGCTTCCTCCCTGCAGGAGAGCAGGGTGGATAGGCTGGTTTGGGAGGAGTGCCATGTTTTATTTCACATTCAGAGGGGTCCTTGACCCCTTCATCCTTAATTAGCTGTAGCCCTTTCAAGAGTAAGGAGGCCTAGAGAAGATTCTCCTGCCTCCACTCTCTGGCCTTTTCAGTTTAGGATCTCTAATGGAACAGGAAGTTGGACAGGTGATCAAAAATGGCTGTTCCATTACTTTTCAGTCTTTCTGAAAATGTGCCCCGGGATTTTTCTGGTATGGAGCTTTTTTTCTTACTTAAATGCAGAGAGCTATGCTGGACTTGGTGACACATGCTTTTGCTTTTACTCACAGCAACTCAGAGGCTGAGGCAGGAGGATCACAAGTCCAGATCAGCATTGGCAACTTAGCAAAACCCTATTTCCAAAAAAAAAAAAAAAAAAAAAAAAAGACAGCAGTGGTATAGTTCAGTGGTAGAGTGCTCCTGGGTTCAATCCTTAGTACCCCCCCACATATTAATTTAATTAAATTTAAAAATGCAGAGAACTTGAGCTTCTCCAGACAGCAGTAATGGGAACAAAGAGAATCCATCCAGGGCTGAGGGAGTCCTAAAGAATTCCAATAGGTACAGTGAGAGACCAAGAACAATCAAAGGTAAGAATAGCTATCACTTACCTAGCACTTACTATGTGTAAGGGACACATTAAACACTTTACATTTAATTCTCATAACACTGCTGGAAAAAACATGCTATCCTCATTTTCCAGGTAGGGAAATTTAAGTTCAAGAGAACTGAAAACAACCAAGGTTCTCAGCTGGTAAATGGGAACACCAGTAACGGAACCCAGGCCTGTCTGTCTGCAGACCTGGACTCAACCACAGTGCTATCCATTCCCCCACACTCCAAAAGAGTAAATGATACTATTTTTGCATCCCTATCCATCAGCAAGGGTGTTAGAGAAGGCCAGATGCTGGAAATTTGAGCCTTATATCATTCAGATCATGTTTTTAGATAAGGAGTTGCTTAGATCTTTGCTTAGACCTAGCTAATCTTTAACGAGACTCATTGGGGAGCAACTGTTCTGATTTGCTTCTTACCATTTTGCAGATGATTAAAGTGAGGCCCTGGGGGCCACAGGAGGGGAGTCCTTGGGGTCTGTGGCTGAGCAGTGGCTCTGAGGTAGGGTTGACAGATAAAATACAGATTCAGATAAAATTTAATTTCAGATAAACAATAATTTAAGTGTACTAAATATTACATGGCTTCTCTCTCTGGCTGGGAACCTGGTTCATGGAAACTGGGTAGAGATGAGAAATTGAGGCCACTGCCTCATTTCTCACTTGAATCTCTGGCCCCTTTATGAGAGCAGGAGGTGGAGGCTGACTTCTGGAGACTATAGCTGCTGCATCAACTGGATGAGGTGGGGGCTTAAACTGTTGTCTTTTCTTTTTCCTTTTTTCTTTGTTGGTATATGAGATTGAACCCAGGGGTGTTTTACCACGACCAACATCCTCAGGCCTTTTGATTTTTATTTTGAGACAGGGTCTCACTGAGTTGCTTAGGGCCTCGATAAGTAGCTAAGGCTAGCCTTGAACTTGCGATCCTCCTGAGCCTTTGGGATTACAGGAGAGCACTACTGTGTCCTGCTTACACTGTTGTCTTTTTGGAGCCTTATCTGCTTTCTCTGTAATCTGAGTGTGGTAAACATGGATGTAATTGATAGGAGTTGTCACTTTCCATATCTCTTGGAGAAGGGGATAGTGTTACCTCTACTAATTTTTCTGGAGAACTGATGAGGCCCCCCAGGCAGGGGAGGGTACCTGGTGAATGGTTCAGACTTTCTGTCTAGGCTGAAGACTCTAAACCTGGTAACCCTGATTCTATTCTTAGTGGTTCCAATAACACATCTGGACACTTGCAGTATCTTGTCCAGTTAACAGAAGAGCACAAGTGATTGTGGGACAATGGCCTCACCTCCCAATTCTTGGGAAATGTACAAGAAAGCATGGAGTTGTTGGGGTGGCACTAGGGTCAGGTGAGCCTAGAAAGAGGCACCAGGAAAGAATCGGTTATAGAAAGGTGGGGAGGGGAAGAGAGTGAGAAGGGAGGTGTAGCTTGAAGTCCAGAGGACCTGGTATTATGGATTTTCCAGCCCAGGGAATGGACAGCTTGGGATAGGGACAAGTAGAGCATATCTAAGATTGTAGCCCTGGTCCTGGGGCTAGGTCTGGGCCCTGATTACCCTTTTTCTGCTGCTAGGGAGCTCTATGAGCATGACTCCTCCCCTTTTCAGATGGGAGTTTCTTTATCAGGCATATACCATAAGGAGGGAGGGACAGAAGGGAGCAAGGCAGGACAGAGTCCAGAGATATTATGTCAAAGAGGCCAAGAAATCTCATTCTGATGATTTAGAACTGAATGTGCCAGAACCAAGCTTGGTGTGGACCTGGATTATCTGTAGCTTTGTGTTTATATATGCATAGGTTTGAAAGTATTTGCTGTAAGGACTGGTACCTAACACACAAGTGTACATGTCTGTTAATCTGGCATGTGTGAGTAATACTTACTCTTTGAAATGTGCCATTGAGCACTCTTGGAATGTGTGTGCACCTAGGAAAGCCTGGGTACTGCCCCTTTCCCTTCTCAGGATATGGTTCTGGGGATGCCTGCAAGTGTGCAGCTGTGTGTTTGGGCGGGGGCTGACAGGGATAGAGGGCTGCAATAATTAAAGTATGAGATTCTTGAGGGAGCTGCTGCTAGACAGGCCCTGTATGTCTCCTACTTTTACTTTCCCAGTCTCCTAGGTCCTGACTTCTTCAAATTCCCTCCTTGATGCCCCTGGCTCTCTTCACCAACCGAGGACCCCAGGCTGGGTTTCTATAGGAGAGCAGTGCCATCTGGTGACAAGCTGAAGCAGTGCCAGGAGCTCTGGTGAGTTGCACTTTGGGATCCTACAGAGGCTCTTTGAGAACTTCAGGCAGTCACCATGGGATGGCTAGACCACAGACAGAGGAGGACATCTAAGTTTGAGAACTGCATTTCTATGCATCATTGGGTTCATGGCCCAAGGAGGCATGGTAGGAAATTTGTCTAGAGTATTGGAGAAAAGGCATAAGCAGGTTGAGCCCAGCCTCTGGACACTGATTCAACTGTCTGGATTCAGATTTTTCATCTGTAAAAACCTGTTAACCATACCTACCCTATGGGGTGGTAGTGAAAGAGTGTGGCTAAAATACTTGGCTTAGAGGCAAGCTTGCTGTAAAGTCAAAGTAAATGGTAGTGGCCATTGCTGTTATAGGCAAAGTTCAAGAAGCCCAGAAGGAGAGCTGTGTGTTGTGGCAGAAGGGGTTGCAGAAAGGTGACATGTCTAGCACACATTCTAGAATCTGGGCCTTGAGCAGCTGCTCCAAGTTAAACATTCAAATGAGGAAAGAAGATCTCTCTGGAAAGAGGAAAATGAGATCTGGGAATGGAATCAAGAGACCCAATATCCAGGTTTATTACTAACTATGGAATCTGAGTATGGCAGCAGACCATGGGAATGCACAGAAACTTGCTCAGACTCTAAGATGAATTGTGGGATCTTACTGAGATTCTGGACAATTGTGGACTTAATGTTTATCTCTCATGCTCCCACAAAGGATCTCTGAATCAAAGTCAAGACGCAGTTCTGACTCTGCTGTTCATTGGCTGCATTAGTTAAGACATTTACTGTCTGAGCCTTACTTTTCCCAACTGTTAAATGAAGAAATTGAATTAGATGACCTTTGAGGTCAGTCCTGCCTGCCTTCATCTATTTTTCTTTTTTGGTTTTGAGAATTGAACCCTAGGGGTGTTCTAACCCTGAGCTACAAGCTCTTTTCTTTCTCCCTGCCTCGCCATACTGGGGATTGAGCCCGGGGGCTCTACCACTGAGCCACTTCCCCAGCCCTCCCACGCCCTTTTTTTCTTATTTTGAGACAGGGTCTGAGGCTGGACAGGAACTTGGGATTCTCCTGCTTTAGCCTCTAGAGCGACTGTTAGGTGCATACCAGCACACTCAGCCATATATGGGCTTTTGATTTTTCATTTCTCTTCTTCACATATAGTAACTGGCAATAAATATTAGTTGATTCCTACAGGATATGTCGAACAGAAAGACAAAAAACCAGAGACTTCTGTATGAGTGCTGTACTTTCTGATATGCTCATGGGAAATATTTTCTTTGTTCCTGGTATATTCGAGGAATGATATGGGAAATAGGAGAATAACACAGAACCTCTTCGCTGACACATAGCGCAAAATAAAACACTGAAAAAGTATCAAGCAGTACAGTCCGGTTGTAGAAGAATCGAGTCCCTTTTCGCTTCCGTCTTCCCAAGCAGCCAATGAGTACAGGGCAGTTTGGCTTCAATATAGAAAACTACATGTCCCGGCAGCCAATGCGCGGGACGAAGAGCTTATGCGCCAATCGGCACTGGCGTCCCTAGACGCGAAACTTCATTTCCCAGGCGTCCTCGGGGCGCTTCGATTTTCTTTTTTTTTCCACCCCCCCCCTCCGCTCTTTCAGGCGTTCTACTCCCGCCCTCTGCTCGCTATCCTCGCGCCAACTCGGCGCGCGCGCACTCGCGCGCGGGGCACGTAGCCACGCGAATGACGCATAATATGTGGGCCGCTCTGGAGCCGTGGTCGCGCTGTGTGTGTGAGTGAGGGTGAGTGAGTGCGGGACCTGAGGCAGTGTGTGTGAACTGTGTCCGCTGGCGGGGTCAGGGGGAAAGCGGCGGAGCCGCCTAGGAAGGTGAGTGGGGAAAGGAGGGAGATGGCTCTTTGGGAGGGGCACAAGGAAACGGCACGCAGCCGGTGGAGCGGGAGAGTGGGCGCCGGACTGGGGGAGGGGCGGCACCTGCTTGGGCCGCCGCCGGCGGGGAGGGGGCGGGCCGCGCCGCTGGAGTGGCCGGGCCTGGGGCCTGACAGGACTTTTTCTCCGGATTCCTGGCCTGGGGGCGGGGCCTCCAGTTCTTTCTCTAGTCCCTTAAGAAGCTTCCCGAGAGTAACTCTTCCGCCCGGAGTCGGGGGCTGGGGTGTGCCCGCCCCTACCTGGAGGCGGGGGGCGCCTTTCATTTCCCTTGTCACCTCTTTTCTGCCAATTCTTGCGTCTCCGTTCCGTACGGTCTGGGGGGTTCCATCTTCTTTGCCGTACGGCGGCCCCCTTCCCGGACTGTGTCTCCGCCTCCAGCTCCAGTCACCTGGGCGGGCTCTCCCCTCCCTCGGCCTCGTGCCACCTCCCCCTGCACCCGCCCAACTCTTGGACACGGCGCGGGGGTGGAGCTCCTCAGTGACTCCTCCCACCAGTGACGGAGGCGGGAGTGTAGGGATAGGTTTGCGGGTCCGGCGCCTAGGAGGCAAACCTCGGATTGCCCGCCAAGCTCCCTTGGGATTCTGTTTCCAGGGGTTGTAGTTGTTTTCAGTTGTGATGTCCGAGAACTTCTCTTCCGAGACGGTTTCTGTCTCGCTTCCTCTTACTGCAGTGGTATAGTTGAAGAAGTAGTTTTTGAAATGTTTGTTGTACTTTTTGAGTTACAAAAAGTAACAATTACGTCCTGTTGCTCTCGTTTTTTCCCTACTACCTGGTGACTTTTCAGTGAAGCCTTTTAATTTGTCTACATGTTTTAATTATTAGTTTACACTAGCATCTTCTTGTTGGGAACGCTTTGTTAATATTTAGAGTGTGAGGTTCATTGGTTAGCGTCATCCTGAATTTTTTTTTCCGGTTTATTGGAGTTTACCTTTAAGGTTTATGTAAGCTTGTTTATTTAGACTTTAGGAATTGATTTAGTGTTTTTCTGAAGGATTTGGGTTTTAAATCATGGCGGGTATTCCTTACCCATTTTCGAGTGGTGGTGTATTTTTGGATATTAAGGTAACAGAATTTGGGGAACGTAGGGAAATCTTTTCGTATTCAGCATCTTTTGCTTAGTTTGCTGAGCACAGTGTTTTACTGTTCTACTGGCGTGCAGTTATTAAATTTAATAGAGGAGAATGAACCATGTATTAAATTGAAGTGATTTGAATTGGTTTACTACCAGTTGTATTGTTTTTGTAATGGAGATGGTCATGTACAATAAGATGAAGTTGCACATGATCTCTTATGTCACAGGGATTATTAACTTTTTATGTGAAACTCTAGTATTACATGCCCCCCCCCCCCCCCCCCCCCCCCCGCACGGGAAATTGAACCGGGGTGCTCTAACATTGAGTTACATTCCTAGCCCTTTTTAATTTTTATTTTGAGACAGGGTTCCCTTAATTTGCTGAGGCTGGCCTCCAAATTATGATCCTCCTGCGTCAGCCTTTGGAGTGGCTTGTATCACAGACATGCACATCCAGCTTTTGCTTTTTCTTTCTTTTTTTTTTGAAGGTACTGGAACCATGCCCAGTGGTGCACACCTGTAATTTCATTGGTTTGGGAGGCTGAAGTAGGAGGATTGCAGGTTCAAAGCCAGCCTCAGCAATGTCTCTGAGCAACTTATCGAGATCCTGTCTCAAAATAAAATATAAGAAAGGGCTGGGGATGTGGCTCAGTGGTTAAGTGCCCCTGGATTAAACCCCTGGTCCACCCCCCCCCCAAAATAAATACTGGATTTTGAACTCATGACTTCTGTCATGCTATGCACATGCTCTACCACTGGGTTACAGCAGTTTTAACAAGGAAGGGTGCTTATAGATATTTGTTTCAGGATTGTAACCTTCCTAAAGGTTTTTTTTCTTGGATTCAGGATCAGACCTCCCCATCTTGCAGCCCTGGGGATCAAACCCAGGGTTTCATGCATGTTGGGCCGGCACTCTTATCACTGAACTATATCCCTAGCCTCAGAATCATTTAAAAAAATTTTTTTTGTATTTATTGATGGACAGAGTGCCTTAATTTCATTTATTTTTTATGTGATACTAAGAATTGATCCCAGTGCCTCACACGTGCTAGGCAAGCATTCTGCCAATTGAGCTAAAGCCCTAGCCCCACAATCAGTTTTTTTTTAAAATACATTTTTAATTGTAGATGAACTCAATACCTTTATTTCTATGTGATGCTGAGGATTGAACCCAGTGCCTCACACATGCTGGGCAAGTGCTCTATCACTGAGCCACAGCCCCAGTCCCAGAATAAGTTTTTAAAATGGACTTTATTTTAGACTTTGGGATAGTTTATTCTGAATAGTATATTAGAAAAGAAGACATTCTATAGTTTAATTAGAAAGTTAGGAAAGGTTTTAAAATATAAAGGTGAGAGTCAGGTTTGGTGGCATATGCCTGTAATTCCAACCACTTGGGAGTCAGAGACAGGAGGATCTCAAATTCAAGGCCAGCCTTTACAGTTTATTGAGGCTCTCAGCAACTCAGTGAGACCCTTTTTATTTAAAAAAATAAAAAGGGCTGGGGATGGAGCTCAGTGGTAAAGTGCCTCTGGGTTTAATCCCCAGTACGTACACACACACACACACACACACACACACACACACACACACACAAGATGTGAGGTTAAAAAAAAGTATAATGAAAAGTCTGTCCTCTATCTTTATCTTAGTCAGTTACCTGCCTTAATATAATATTATTCATTTCCTGTGTGTTCTTCCAGGGATGTTTTGTTCTAGGGGAATACACTTTTTTTTTTTTGTCTTCATACATGTATTTAGGGTTAAGATGTTCATCTCATTCCACCATCTTTCCTACTCCCAACCCCATCTCTTCCCCTCCCTCCCAGGGGGATACACTTTTTAATTCACAGTAGGTAGTATGTTATACACAAAACAAAAACACTTTGCTTTCTTACTTGGCAATTATTTTGATAGTTGCTCTAAATTAGGAAAATAAATGGTTCTCAATTTTTTCTAATTCCCCTTTTGTGTTGGAACCCAGGGTTTTGTGTTCATGTGTACTCTCACTGGGATATACCTCTAGCTCCTCCAACTTTTACTTTTAATTTGTTTTTATTATTTTTGTGACAGGATATCCCTATATAGACTAGACTGGCCTCAAACTTGCTATCCTCCTGCCTCCACTTACCCGGGAGCTAGGATTACAGGCCTGCCACATTGCTTGCCTCTACCTTTTTATTAGGAAGATATTCAAGCTTTTTAAAATAGAAATTTTGAAAGAATAATAAAATAAACTGGTTATCTGTTATATTCTGTATATGTGTAGAGTTAATGTATTTTTTGTAAACATTTGAAAATAAATTGGAAGCCAGATGGTGCATGCCTGTAATCCCAGTGATTTGTGAGGTTGAGGCAGGAGGATTGCAAGTTTGAGACCAGCCTGGATGCCTTAGTAAAAAGGGTTGAGGATGTAATGTAGCAGTAAACCATCCTTGAGTTCAATCCCCCAGTATGGAAAAATGAATAAATAAACATATATATGTATGGAAATTTGCATGATGAAATTAACCACTAACCATTTTATTTTAACTTTATATGTTATTTGGTACTTGGAATTGAACCTCGGGGTACTTTACCCATGAGCCACATCCCCAGCCCTTTTTATTTCTTATTTTGAGACAGGGTCTCTCTAAGTTGCTTAAGGCCTTGCTACATTATCGAAGGTGGCCTTGAATTTGGGATCTTCTGCCTCAGCCTCCCATTTGCTGGGATTACAGGTATGCATCACCACACGTGGTTTACCACTATTCATTTTAAAATGTACAATTAGGTGGCATTTTGTATGTTGATGGTGTAGTGCAGTCTTTACCTCTTTCTAGTTTCAAGCCAGTTTTTATCACTTGAAAAGGAAAATTCTTACCCATTTAGCTATTATTCCCCTTTTCCTTTTCCTCTTATCTCTGACAGTCACTAGTTAGCTTTCTGTAGTATGTTGATTTACTCCTATTCTTTTTTTTTTTTTTTGGTGTCGGGGATTGAACTGAGGGGCACTCGAGCACTGAGCCACATCTCCAGCCGTATTTTGTATTCTGTTTAGAGACAGGTTTTCACTTTTGCTGAGGCTGGCTTTGAACTCACAATCCTCCTGCCTCAGTCTCCTGGTGGAATTACAGGACCCAGCTGATTTATACCCATTCTTGATGTTTCACATAAATACAATCATAATGATAAATGTGACCATTTGTATGCTTTTTTCACTTAACATGTTATTTTCTGCACCCAGCTGATTTATACCCATTCTTGATGTTTCACATAAATACAATCATAATGATAAATGTGACCATTTGTATGCTTTTTTCACTTAACATGTTATTTTCAATGTTCATCCACATCTATAACATGTATCAGTATTTCATTTCTGTGACAGAAGAAATATTCATTGTATGGATATGCCACGGTTTGTTTATTCATTTATCTGATGATGGACGTTTGGGTTGTTTCCATTCTTTAGTTATTTTGAATAAAGCTGCAGTGAACATTTGCCACACAATTTGTTTTGAATTCTTTTGGGTGTATAGTAGTGAAATTGTGGGTTATAAGGTAATTCCATGTTTGTTTAAAAAAAAAAACCTCTCAGGGACTATCAAACTTCCATAGTTGAGGTACCATTTTGTATTCCTGTCAGAAATGTGTCTTCTCCTTTCTTCACTTTTTTGCTGGTGTTTATATTTTCTGATGTTGTGATTATAGCCATTCTAGAAGATGTCAAGTGGTATTTTCATTGTGTGTTTTTTTTTTTTTATGGTGCTGGGGTTTGAATTGAGGGCCTCTTGCATGGTAAGCACATACCACTGAACTGCATCCCCAGCTTCATTTGCCCATGCTTATTTATTTATTTAATTTTTGATACCAGGGATTGAACCCAGAGGCACTTAACCACTGAGCCACCTCCCCAGCCCTTTTTATTTTTTATTTTGAAACAGGTTCTCGCCAAGTAGCCTTGAACGTGGAGTACTTCTGCCTTAGCCTTCTAAGTTTCTGGGATTTACAGGCCTGTGCCACTGCACCTGGCTAATGCAATTTATTTTTGTGGTGTTCTTTTTTCTTTTTGGGTACTGGGAATTGAACTCAGGGGTATTTGACCACTGAACCACATCCCCAGCCGTATTTTGTATTTTATTTAGAGACAGGGTCTCACTGAGTTGCTTAGTGCCTTGCTTTTGCTGAGGCTGATTTTGAACTCGGGATCCTCCTGCTTCAGCTTCCTGAGCCACTGGGATTACAGGTGTGTGCCACTGTGCCCAGCTTTCTGTGGTGTTCTTATATCCTCAACTTTGCTGAATTTGCTTATTAGTTCTAACAGTTTTTATGTGGATACTTTAGGATTTTTTGTATATAGGATTATGTTATCTACAAATAAAGATCATTTTATTTTTTCCTTTCCAACTTGGATGGCTTTCTTTTTCCTTCATTGTTCTTATGAGAATTCCACTACAGTGTTCAAAAAAAGGGATAAAAGTGAGCTTACTTGTCTTGCTTCTGATTTTATTTACTTATTTTGGTACTGGGATTGAACACACAGGGGTGCTTTATCACTGAACAAATCCCCAGCCCTTTTTATTTTTTGTTTTGAGACAGAGTCTGCTAAAGTGCTTGGGGCCTCACTAAGAGGCTGGCTTTGAATTTATGACCCTCTTGTTTTTAGCCTCCTGAGTTACTGGTATTACAGGTTTGTGCCACCATACCTAGCCTTTTTTTTTTTTTTTT